AACACTCATACGCTAAAATAAAAATAATAAATATTTTTTTAAAAAAAACATGATAAAGCAGTATGAGATCTGCAGTTTATTTTTCACTTAGTACTGTGAACTAAATATGGCTTTGGAAGTTAGAGTCAGTCTTTCCTTCTCTTGCATCATTATCTAAAGAAGATGCTGCAATCTAACAGATGACATTAGGAAATAGCTAACAGGGAAAGGGTAGAATGCAGTTTCTCATTTGGTGAGTTCAGAGGGCACAGCTATCAGTGGTGGACCAGGAAAGAGCACTTGTGTAGGGTCAGTAGACTGTAGGGTTTTGTTGTTGTTGTTTTGTTTTGTTTTAATCTCTGGGGCTGGGTGTACAGCTTGGTGGGAGGGCAAGGGTTTTAGCATTTGTGAGGCTCTAGGTTCAATTCTTAGTGTTAAAACAAAATAAAATTCTCTAAAGTGTGAAGGGGTTTCTCTTTCATTCCCTGCCATGTTCTCACTTGGAATGGAACTTGGTACATAGCATTAAGAGTGTGTTGAGGCCAGCCGTGGTGACACATGCTTTTAATCCCAGCGCTCAGAAGAGAGAGGCAGGGGGGATCACTGTGAGGTCCAGGCCAGCCAGGACTACAGAGTGAGGCTCTGTCTCAAAAAAGAAAGTTTGTTGAAAGGCTAGAATATGAGGCGACAGAAATGGGATAAATTACACTCTTTCTAGAGAGTAATCATGACCTTGTGCAAGTTTCTTCACATAACTTCATTTTGCTTTCCTCACCTGCAAAATGGAGGTGCTAGATTACCCATATCCTTAAGGTGTATTGTAAAGATAGAATGACATAATTTATTTAACATATTTGAATTACTCTTGCCTTTACTTCGCCTTCACATCTCCTATTCACCAATCAAGGGCTTTCTTTTCCCCCTACAGATAAGAGCTACACAATTTGAGAATCTTAGATCCACTGAAGGGGTACTCCAGTTGCCTCACCCTGCGTCCCTGTTCAGAGGAAGCTAGAGTAGCCTGCGTCCTGATTTCCCTATCCACAATTTGGGTAACCTCTTCAGAGGATGGTGTGATAAGAATAGGAGGTAGGGATTGGCTATGCAGTTAGGGTCAAAAGACCCCAAAGAAAAGTAGCCAGTTTCTTGGCTAAAAGTTAAAATGTCCTTGGGCCTCTTAGCAACATACTCCATTCCAAAAGCCAAAAATATCAAAAATATTTGGGAGCTTTTGTCTAATCCTTACAAGATTTTAGGGTTATCTCTTCAGAAGGGAGAATGGTAGAGTAGCCAAAAGCCCCATAAAAATAAATCAAAGAAGAAGAAAGAGTACATAAACTTCTC